AGCTCAGTGGTGAAAAGAATGTGGACAACTCGAGAGCTGAAGAGGACGAGCTCAGTGGTACCGGCTGAAAACATCATGAACCGACCCATGAAGGGTTCTTTCCGGCCCGTGGATTCAACTCGGACTGAGGATCCAACTGATCTCGAAGTGGGACTCCATGGGTGAACCTCCGGAACTCACTGGGTGACTCAATGGGTGACTCAATGGGTGTTCCACGTTCCGAGTCTCATGAGAACTCAATGGGTGTGGTGGACTCCATGACATCTCATGATGAAGATCACTCACTGGAATCATGGCACCCCGATCCATTCTGAATCAGAATCATATTGACTGATCGCATTCTGAAAGATTTCCGGTTTCTTCATGTGGATGAAGTGATGATCAAGTGATGATTAGTCAATATGAGGTTTTTTTAGATGCAAAGAAACATCAGTTGAAGTCACTGGAATCGCACCGTTTGGATGTCGCCTTCTGCATCCTGTGACGTGGAGGGTCAGGACCGGCCTTCCTTTTCCGGTGAGGTAAACGTGACGGTGCACGAGGAGGAAAAGCAAGCACTCTGATTTCTGGTTTAGGGTTGCAGGCATGTTAAAGGCATGAAACTGCCCAAAAAGCGGTCAAGGTGTTCAGAACTCTTTGGCCATGGGTGATCAATGGCTTGGAAGATTAAGTTATGGTTCCTCTTCCATTCCACAAAACACGGTCGGCCAATCAACCAGCCAAGGTGAAGCACTTGAAGAACGAGGAGTACGATGCACGACAGGTCAACTGGGCTGCAGGGGTGTGTGTTTTCTGCTCTCCTCCCTATGAGGCATTTTCTGATATGGGCCTGTTTGCACTTATATACTTTGTAGCTTTTGACCTTAATTGACGCCTGGATTGCACCCCCTATCTACACTCTCTCGCTCGAACGCCCGAACGCCGTTGGGGTGTGTCGTTGGGTTTCTTGCCTGCCTTGCACCCCCTATCTACACAAGTGACTGCATTGCCCTACCTGTGGCCAAGGACTAACTAAGCAAGGAACGCCTCAGGACGTCCAACAGAACTTGAAAGAAGCCTTATGCAAGAAGATTGATTTGTTTAGCCTCCGGCCGGCGGTTACAACTTCATCTGCATGTATCTGGGTATCAGTCTCAAATAGAGAGAACCAAGCACACAACATCAAACACTCACCAAGGCAAGCAATTGACACCAAGCAAACGAAAATCGTCCGAATCTATCACAACCACCATGTTTCCTGTTCAGCTACCTCTACTAGTAGCCTGACACGAGCACCAAGTGGCAAGCGAGGCACTTTGGAAGCATCCTGAGTTACTTGATGGCCTACCAGTCAGTGGATATCCTTTAACCTTCTCGTGCCTGGCGATTGGTTTTCCTATGTTTTCCTACTGAACACGAACAGGCGTAAAGTTGGGTTAACCGCTCTGTTCCCCCAAAATCGAACCGGCTCCAGAGCCAGAACTGGCTCTACTCGTCGTACGTCGCTCCAGAGGATTGCACCGATTGACACAGGATCACGGTCGACTCGACCGATTTGGCTGTTGCTCCACCAGACCGAAGTCAGGTGGAGCAAGCCTACTCTGAAAAGCGGAACGCCAAGAAGGCGCCCGCCTCGCTTCAGTGCGGCGCGGGTGTTCTGCGCGGCGCGCCGTCTCGACCGCGAGACGGGGGCGATGGAGGGATGAGTCCGGACCATGGCTGTGACTGGTCTGGATGGATGGATGGGCATAGGAGTTCTTGAGTTAAGAGGTTGTAATGATGAGTTCTCGTGACGCACCAATTCTGTTGTAAGACATTGCAGAACTTGTCAGACCAAAAACACAGTTTCTCCGGGAGTTTCTTTCTTTTTTGAACGTGAATGTGCCAACCTGCGCACCAAGGCCAAACCCGCGTCGTTGGCGCACCAGTCTTTTCAGGATCACTTCACTGAAAAACATGGGGTACTCGTAGCGTCTAAAGACGCAATGTAAAGAGGACCAAATCCTTTGAGCCGCTACTGGCAGCTGGCATGCTGCCGGCATTTGGCATGAAAAGCGCCTACCGACCAGTACTCTGGTAAAGGCAAGGTGGGGCATGGGGCTGAAACCGTCACCGTTCCATGGAAACCAGCGAAGCCATGGAAACCGTCACAGCCGTTACTTGGACTTCTGATGAATCATGGACTTCCTACTCGCCCCGCGCCCCCTCAGGGAGAGTGAGGGAGTGACAGAATTGTTCTTTTCCAGTGCTCTGCTTTAGAAGACACGTGTGGCCAGAGCTGCCAGAAGCATTCTAAAACTGAAGTTGAACTGAACCGAGGAAGTTACAAGGTGATCACACCATTTGCTTTAATTTGGTGGTGCTAGCACGATGAGAAACGGTTTCGAGGGGTTTCGGTATTTCAATACATTGGGGTTCACTTTGGGATATACTTGGAAGAGGTTCCGCCTTCAGTCCCTGATTGACAGGAACCATGTTCGACCAAGGCGCTTTGGACATCTTCAACCCCATCCGTGGATGTCTCTCCAACCCAATGCTTCGGTATACACTCCCGAAAACTAACATAGACCCTGACAATGGCCCCCTGGAAGATTGTTTTCCTCTACAAACCAGTGGTTTTCAGGGTCCATGTTAGTCTTCCAGGGTGTATAAGCTATTTTGAGTGCACTCAAGAACGGCGGATAGATGGAGCCTCCACGTACGCGAACTTCTGCGCTTTTTGGGACTCCTGACTCTGATGGGGCCCATGGGGGGAAGGGGTGTCCTGGGAGATGAGGGACACACCTGGTTTGGTCACTCCGTATGAGGTCCAGTTCCACTGCCACCTTTCAAAAACAGAGTCACGGAGTATATATATAATCATTATATAATGGTGACATAAAGGTGATCTAGTGACCGAGTACCAGGCAACATAGTCTTTCTCATAGTCTTCCAGGTCGTCCGGTTCCAATATCCATGTTTCTTCAACACCGAGTCCTTCAAAAGATTCTCATGAAACTGGCACCCACGTCGCCATGCACGTGTCGAGCCGCGATCCAAGCGGAAGGGTTCCAAAAGCTGTGACGGGCTGAATGAAGAAGAGAAACCAGTGGCAAGTGACGAGAGCCAGCAGATCATTCAGTTTGGACCAACGTTAAATTGCAAAATAAGTAGTTATGGTTACACGAAGCTCACGTCTAATTGTAAGGGGATCAGTTGGGGAATAGAATCGCCATGTTCACGAGAAGAAGTTGTAAGACCACTGAAGACCATGATAGACTTGCGCGTCGCGATAGTCGTTATACAGGCTCGTCAGGCCCATGAGCACTGTGAGTCAAACAGTGAATCAGTCAGCCTGCACTCAATCGACGCATGGGGTTGCGAAGGTGGAAGGCGAACAAGGATTCAGACGAGAGTTGCATGGACCGGGTGTGTCAGAGGAAGAGATATCGACCAATCAATCGTCCTTTTTGGGATAGGGACGTCTTGGACTCAGCTTCGGCATTGGCGGAGGGTTTGCCGATTAAAATACAAAAACAATCAAAACAGATTGGTGAAGCGCATATTAAACCATCATGAATCAAACGTCTGGACTCAGCTTCGGCAGTTCGGCTTTTCATGTTAACATGAGAAGCGCTCGGAAGGAAAAGAACCACTGTCCCCTGCCCCAGGAAAGACTCATCAGGTGATCCTGGCAATTTCAGAATCCGAAAAGCTTGAGATCATGTTCATCATGTTGGCACCCCAAAAATCAACTGGAGGATTGAACATGGCATCAACATCTTTGGAAAGTTTAATGCTTGGGCTGGGATGTCGTAACTTAGTTGCATGAGGATTCTTGGGATTATAGTGAAGTAACAGCTCTTTCCCTGACTACAACCCCAAGCTAGTCGAAATCGTCCTGTATACTTATGTTTATACATGGCTATATATATATATATAGAAACATCGGACACATCACAAGAAAGGCCAGAATTTGATCCACTTAAGTCTGAAAGACCATTCTGTTTGTTGCCGTCCACCGAATGAATGGAGTGCTGGTGATTTGGTTGCCGACTACGGTGACTGGGGCGTGTGGCCGTGGATGACCAAGACTGCGTGCGATCGAAGAGCAAGAGAAGTGAGCTTCCGTGCGATCGAAGATACAGCAGAAGTAGCACAAGCTACATACATTGACCATTGACCCCGAATGAACTTCAAGAGAGTTTATCCGTGTTTTGAATGTTTTGACAGGTTCGGACAAGCGAACATGATAAAGTATGATGTTGACGACCATCTTACAGATATATAGGATTCTGGATTCTATTTATTTTGCTTGAGACACACCCACTATACTTCAACACCTTCCAACATATTCCTCAACTGGATGCTGAGCCAAAAAGTATTGGCCCGCCGTGTGCCACACGAAGGACAGCTGGTTGGCCGTGCAGACGCAAGTGCCGTGCCAGACTGTGGCATAATTCATTCCAATGCCGTGACGAAGAGAGCAATCCGAGCTAGCGTGTCTTGCCCGTGAAAAGATCACCTCCACAAGGACTTTGGCATCAGCTTGGTTGTGACTCCCATTGGGGACTCTCCCCAAGACCAGGCTGTGGAAAAAAAGACTACCGTACACATCATGATACTACTCACCTGAACGGTCTTGCAGCCTGGTCAGGGTAGCTCGAAAGAAAGCAGTGTTTGCTTATTGTGATCATTCTACCGGTGGCTCAACTGGAAACCAGCAATTTTGCTAGAGTTTGCTAGCAGACAACTGGACTATTAAGCTACAAGAGATGCAAGGCACAAGTAAGGCCTTGGAGTGGTAACACTTGTGGGGGATACTCAAGGTCCCTGGGGACAGTCAAGAAACTGCAAGCTGAACGAACAACCGCATGGAAATTGTGACTGGTGCCTAGGAAGTTGATCCCAAGCAGACTTGTGCATGTGATACGTTCAGCCCACATGCAAACGCTGCAGGAAAATGCCAACAACCCGCTGCAGATGTTTGCAAACCACCTCGTAATCTTGCACGTGTAAGTAGGTCAAGCCATGAAAGACTCATGGCGGATGCCAGTGCCCCAGCCGATGCCGGTCCGCCGAGTGGTCCGAGTCAACCACTCGATCGCATTGATGAGCTGTCGGATGAGCTCATCAGGCGCCGGTCGTACGTCCCAAGCGATGCGACGTCCGCGGTCTACTGAAGCAGATCAAAATAGAATGAAACAAGAGATTGAGACATAGAGACATATGCATTGGAAGCGTTTCATTCCTTGTTTCAGAAGTCTATATATATATATATAGTTATTATTTCTTATTATTACTATATCAGGCATTGGTTTCCAAGTCAGAGGTTGACGTGCCACGGAGGTTTCCTGTATCCCGGACCCGTCATCCTAGTTTCGGTTGGAACTAATAAGGCATCATTTAAGGTATTTAGGTGGATGAATAAAGATGTTGTCGATTGAACTATGTCGAATTGCATAGTCGAAAGGTGATCTCACATGATCTCATTTCATTTCAACTGAGCTGCATGGGTATGGACGCGATTGACCAGAATGGGAAGTGAGAAGTGTGGCACAAGAATGGAAAGGGGTTACGCCACACAGGTGCTGCAACGACGTATTAGGTCTGGGTGATGTCTTGTTCCTTGGGGCACCAGCATCTGAGGGTTCAGTGTGAAAGTGCCACGCTAGGACTCCAACACTGAACACTCTGGTCATATTACGGAACCCAACTTGCTACTGGGTAGTAGCGTCCTTGCTCCTAGTAGTAAGGCCAGCAGCCCCCTTCGTAGCTTCTTGCTCCGTTCGTAGCGAGCGCCAGCTCACCAGCGGGGTGTCGGACTCTCCCACCTTCGGGACGATCGATGCGTTGGGTCCCTGTGTTGGGTGTTCAGGAGAGTGCAGGAGAGGCGCGGACGTTTGCGAGAGGAGAGGCAGAAGATGACCCTGGAGTTTGAGGCTGAGCGAAGTCGGTGTTCGCATTTGCCAGGGTTCATGTGTCAGCCTTCCAGACCCATCCGTCCTCATCCGTCATCATCAGCCCATGCTTTTGCAGCTGAGAATGGAAGAAGGGGTGGGTGGGGTGTCTCCAAGCAACGGAACAGAAGGCGGAGTGCAAGTGGTTGGTGGATCAGTGAGACAGACATCCCCACTTGAGGCATCCAAACTCCACAGGATGAACATGAGAACTGACACGAGCCCCAGATCTACTTGGTCCATCTTGGTCGATATGCCAAGATAAGCCCCAGGCGAACTTCAGGGTGAAGTGGATCATCCCTTTCTTCAGGTGATTTTCAGAGGCACTGATCTGAAGGCACTGAACCGGACCGAACCTGTCACCCACCGGCCCAGCTCTCTCGACGAGGCCAAGCGTGTTCAGCTTCACACAGAGTACTCCACCAGGCTCTTGCAAGCAGATGAGGAGTGAACTCTGCCATGCCGGCCGTTTTTCGGAGCGTTCTTCAGGACGTATCGACGTATCTTTCAGTTCCCTTTCGAAGAGGTAGACTAGGTGGCTTTAATGATCTTTAAGGTCGTTTCTTGGTGTGTGTGGTTTTCTGTGGCCGACCATAGTGATTTCTAAGAGGTAATGGACACTGTAGGGTTGGTATTGGATCGGATATACTATATATGTATACACGCACATACATATCAATGCTAGTGAATCGCCTCGTTCTTCTGCTGATGACTGGACATCTGGCAGTGTAGTAATCTAAGCCAAGCTATTGACACCCACGCTCGCTACATGTTGTACACTCCCTTTGTCCGTCTCATGCAAGTGTGTTTTACACGGTCAGAACTCCTGGTCATCCGAGTCTTCGGGATGCTCCGCATGATATGTCCAGGGAGTGTGATGTCTTTGTAAGAAGACCATGCCAACGGTGTACCAATGGTAGTGTAAGTCTTTGTACTCCATGGTTAGCATGACAATGTATACCATGCCAATTTTGGTGTAGGGTTATGCCATGTGATGCCCATACCCATTGATGCAAAGAAGCTACTGTATACGGCTCCTACCATCGCTACGAGTCCGGAGCGATCGGACACTACGAACGACAGGGGCTCCGGGCCGTACTACGAACGGAGCAAGAAGCTATTTGTTAGTTATCTAAATTCAATAGTCTTGTGAAGATGCTTCTTCATTGACATGTGAACGTCATGTGCGGTTCACCTGTGCGCTGAAATGTGCGATGGGTTGGGCGTTGTGCGATGCATGCGTGCGCTGACTTGGGCGTTGAGCGATACATGCGTACGCTGGCTTGGGCGTTGAGCGATGCATGTGTGCAATGTGTTGGGCGTTGTGCGATACACGTGTGCGATACATGTGTGCGATCACTTTGTATGGCAAAACACTGCCAAACACAAGTCAGAGTCACGACTCATGACACTCATGAAGACTTAAACTTAAAGTCCAGATTCCAGATTGATATATCCAGAGTCATTGGAACTGACTTGACATATGATTGAAACTTTAGAGTTTAGAATTCTAGAATCTAGAATCCAAAAACCGAATCAGACTTAAAGCCAGGCAAGCAAATGCATTGCTGACAACTCGCCCCAGAGCAAGTTGCAGAAGTTATGCTCAGAAGTCAGAAGTGCAACAGTCGAATACAATGTGACATCATATGTGCACACTTCGACAACGTGACAACAACAAAACACGCCACTAATGTCAAACAAACTTTAGCAATGGCCGTTTTGCAGATTAAGTCTACTGTTAAGTAAGTTTTGTTGTTGTAGGTAGCATATAGTTACATAGTTTTAAGTTTTAATTACACTTGAACTGTAGCTATCACGAATTGATCATTGTTCAGCCCTGGGGCCTAGATTCTAGATTCTAGATTGGATTGATTAGTCTAATGAATCTAACCTAATCTGGACTAAAACTACCACATCACATAGTGTTATAAATTGTGACTAGCCAGAAGGTCAAGGTTCATCTTCAATTTCATCTAATCAGATTCGATTCAATGCAGTGAATCGTAAATTTGTCCATGGCGAGCGAACTGGCGGCTATACTGCAGCGTGTGTCCCATGAAGAGTCCGGCGACCCTGCTCCTCATGGACGTGGATATCGCCCTATCAAGAGACACGTTTTCCTCAAGAAATGTCCGGTTTCCCAGTTCCGGGTTTCAGTGGGAAGCTGGTGGATTGAGAGTTCAGAGTTGGAAAGAGTCTGGGTGCGATTATGATTATTTATGATTTGATTCATGATTCAAGATTGATGCAAATCTAGAGACTCGAAGCCATTGTAACTTGAAGGCTTGAAGGTCACTGGTCATAGATTGTGCGCATACATTTGCAGCCATTAAGTTTCAATTCTAAAGGTTTCAGTGCTACAAGTCAGAGATGCACATGACACCGCGACGACTCACTGGGCAGCCGGCTCCGGGCAATCCAATGAAATACATGTTTGTGGATGCGCCGACACCACCACAAGTTCAACGACGGAGAGAAGCCATTCTAGCTGCTGGAGAAAAGCTTGAAACGCTACCAGTTGATGATCAACCTGGTTCAATCAATTGGGGCAAAAAGGTTCTGGTTGACGGGGCAAATCCATCGCCAGTGTGGACTCCATCTCCGGTGAAGAGAAGCTGGGCTAACATGTACCAATTCCCTGATCCCTCACCATTGCAGGGAAAGCATGCTACGTCGCACCATGAGAAAGCACAAAGCCCTTCACCTGGATGTGACTCTCACAATGAACCTGATGGTGGCAATGAACCTATGACACCAAAGAACCAATCAGGTACGAGTTCAGCACGCTTGGCTCAGTCAACGCCAATGCAACCCAAAACCAAAGCTTTGAGGCAGGTGATGAAAACACCGCCAATGACCAAACCGCGGCCTTTGAGTACCAATGCTCCTGTCAAGCAGCGTCAGCGCCGTGAAGCTAGGTTCGACTTGAAGGCAAAGTCTGTCATTGTGGTTGAGGATAGCGACTAGGAGATCTAGTGAGACAGTGAGACGGTGGGTTATCTAGGATCTAGACTCTAGACAATGAATGCCGAGCATTGATCATTTGAAATTTGAAACTGAGTCAGGTGAGGTTAGTGACGTTAGTTAGTTGATTAGGTTAGGCTACAGACCTTGCACACAGGCTGGGCCATGTATTTGTACCATTTGTTTTTCAAATTCCAAAACTGATTCAATTGACTTGTGACTTGATGTGTTTTTATTGTTGATGTTCGTGGTCTATTTGCCATGCAACATTTGTGGTCCAGTCTAGGCTGTGCTCACGGTTGATTCATCTGTCAAGCATGATTACTATCATGCATGTGGGAGGCAGATCGCAAGTGGAAAACAAATGCTTCTTTACTCACGGTGGCAGTGGAAAGTAGTTTTAGGTCGAGTCAATTAGCTGACGCCCCCCTCTGAACCGGATTTGCCAACACTGCAAATATTTTCTTTTTGCTCTTGACTCTTGACTTCTAAGTTTTGCTGGGGTGGGGAGATATCCTTTGTGAATGTGTGAATCGCTTATTCATTGTTGCTGCCTAGGGGCACAACAAAAGGGCTTTGAATCTGATATCTGATCTGATCTGATTTCCGCTGATGGTTTCCTCCTGACTCCTCACCAAGGTCGAAGCATCATCAACTCACAGAAAGCTGCTGAGAGGAATTTGAGCACACTCAGGACTGGGTGGACATTGGAGAAATGGTACAGCAAGTCATATACTTCAATGAGCAGTCACGCAATGCTTGATATTCTCATTCTCTGACCTCTTGTAGATATTAGTATTACTTAAATTAAATTACTATAAAATTAATATAAATACTTACTATATATTATATATATATATATTTGTTTTAGAATAAATATAAATATTGGGTTTTGCATGCTGAGGTTTGGTTCAATGCGATTGACAGTTTTTGTGTTTTGTTGAATCGAAGATTGATCGTGATGTGCTTAAAAGACAGAAATGCACAGCCGCAAAATCATGTCTTCTTCAACATTTCCTTGATTTTCACTTGTCTGTGGCAGGGGCATTGCGCATGAGTTTGCAGAGAAACATTCAGTTCGACGATCTGATTGCAGCTTTAGCACCTTCTGGGGCAAGGACTAGGACGAGGACCACTGGGAAGTGCAAGACAGGTGTGAGAGGGCGTGGCAAATACAAGTGTTGGACACACACTGCGTTACTAAGAGCATCGTGCCTAGGCAAGCTCTGTGTAAGTGTTGGGTTAGCCTTTTTGTAAGTAATTAATTTATGTAGCTGGCGCATCTTTCATATCATAAATCATGAATCATAACATATATATTATTTGCGCTGCACTGAATTGAATGTTACCGTGTGTGATTTGTTGATGACTTGCTCTGACAATTTGATGTTAGAGTCTATGAATTTTGTTGTGTTGTCGTTCAATCAAGCCATTATGCTGTTGGCTTGTTGCTTCAGATGATTTCGGTTTCTTTATCCTAGTTTGTTGTGATTTTCAGACTGTGAATTATTCTGAGGCTCGGCAATGCTATTGTACTCAGCGCTATTCGTTCACACCATGGGCAGGCTATGCAGTATCGAATCTCACAGCGGCAGAAGAAGTCACCAACTATGTTTAGTCTTAATTCACTAGCATTCTGGTTGAATGCTTGCACGACTCACATTTCCAAAGCAACTAGGTTCAAGGAGAGACTTATGTAGTGGAGTTGGAATACATTGCAGACTTGGACGTACAGTCAACACACTGTTGTGTCACGTCGTTTCATTCACATTGTCTCTTGGGTCTACTAAGTCTACTACTTGCTTCTGCTTGTGTTTACAAATCAGTGGAGTTGAGGTATCAAAGAAAATCAGATCAACAAGATCAATTTCCAATTTCAATTGTATAGTATACTCATACCCCAAGATTGGAACCTGTTCTATTGCCCCTATTCTGTGCTTCATTGTTGACTGTCATTCGGTCCTGTCTTCTTTGTGCATCCATTTGAGGTGAGAGCATCCATTTGTGAGCTTTTCTCCAAATGCGCTGAGACTGCCTGCAAGACGTGTCAATCGGCACCTTGCCTTGCTTACTTCAATTCAGTTGGTGATGGTGGGTACTAGCTTGAGTTTATTTATTGATATTTGATATGGTGTTTTCTGTACTAATGAAGGAAGCCGCATGAATTGAATCACAAAATCTTGTGCAGTCTTCTGTCTTCAGACTCTTATCAATTGAATGATGTGAGCCCAGTTCTTGCATTGGTTGGACTGAGGCGAGTCCATTTATGACATCTCTCAGCCTGGAGTTTGACACATCCTCGTTTAAAACGAGGGTCAGACAAGGAATGATCGAAGCAGATGCCAAGTACCATGTTTTGGCCATTTGTAAGCACTTATGACATGTAGCACAAAAGACTCACTGACAATGACGACACACCTGCATAGCTGTTGAGCTCCTTCAAGTTGTTGAACTTGCAAGTTCATCATAAAGGGCCATATGTTG